ACCACTAGATGTCACTGAAACGAACCTCTGAATGAACCGATGTTCAATAGAATTTATGAAGTGGTTACTGGTTCATTGCCAATAGGATTTATGAAGTGGTTACTGGTTCATTGCTTCATTTGGACATCACTATGAAAAAGCCTAGTATGGCATGGGTACGACACGGGTCCTGGTGGCAGTGGAATGACTGCATTAGAGACACAAAAAACATCCAGTGTTGACTTCTTTGTCCTGGAGCAGTTCACCAGGTGGTCAAGACCAGGGCAATCGGCTTCACCTGTCTATCAATCATAAACTAAACAGGACGGTAAACATCAGAGAACAGGTGATGGGCTGGCAGAGGGACCACAGCACACCAGAGGACTCACTTGAGCTACAGGTACGGCACACACCACACCCTACAGCTTGTGACATCAGACTTTATTTATAAAAATAAACAGTGAGGACAATGTGAACAACAAAGTGACACCATCGGAGGCCGGGCATCACTCAATGCCTTCCTGTTTGTCTTTGATGGCGACTCTAAAACGTTCCTCCAATAGAGAGAGTTCACTGATCAGGTCTGTGATGGCGTTTGTAAATGCTTCCTGTCAATGAGAGCATCAGAAACATGACATCACTTCCTGTCAAAACAAAAGCCTCATGAGCTGCTGAACATACTCAGACGTGTGTTACCTGTGGACTGTAGTCAGGTGTGGTCTGCACTCTGATGACAATCTTGTGCTCTAGAGGATGAGGAACTTTATACCCAGCAAACAGAACTTGAGGATCCTTCAATAGCTGACTGACACAAACAGACAAAACACGTGATCAGGTACTGGTAATGTGTATTTTAAACACCGTGATCACACTGACAGAGCTTTAATTTGTAGAAAATGTTCCGTATTCTTCGCTAAAATGTGTCCTGTCGGAACAGTTTAATGAGCTGTTTTATCTCATCTACAAGTTCACTTTCAGCATTTATTTCACAAAGTCCTTGTAGGTGCTACACCGCCGGTGGGCTGGGCCTGCACGGACCCGGACGGTACGTGTTAAAACTCGGGGAAGCGGCTGTGTGCTGCTGCTTAATTGGGTGAATACTGGCGGTGACGTTTGGGCGCGTTTAGCTGTGTGCTGCACTAAATAGCAGCTTAATTTTCATCGGTATTAGTTGTGAAAGTAGCACGTTTTTTCACACCTTTCGTCCTAAATTTGTCTCAAAATTAATTTACATCGTCCCCGATCCTATTTCTATCGACGAGGGTGCGGCCATAGGCTTGAATCCTGGTTAAACCGCTTTATTTGAAAGTCACCAGAATGTGGAGACCAAAATACTCTGGACAAGCCACATAACTGTGATATTTGACCTGATTTCAACATCGTGATTTACTTTTACAAAAGAAGAGTCGGGGCCAGCCTCTCACACTGAAACACTGACGATGGTGTCCACCGTGTGGTCCCGTTTGAAGCCGTTAGCACGACGTCTGTAGCCGGTTACTCTGTTAGCTGTGTGGTAGCAGTGTTAGCCTCTTACGCTCGGATAATGTTGCCCAGCGTGTGGTCCTCCTTGTTCAGGGTGAACAAACATGCGTTGGGAACTTTGGTATCTTTGGTGATGCTGATCTTTTTCTCTCCTTCAAACAACAGAAACGACTCGAAAGCAGGAGGCGCATTCATCTTCTTCAGCGAACGTAAACTACACTACTCCGACTTCCTTCTTCTTCTTCTTCTTCTTCTTCTTCTTCTTCCTCTTCCTCTGGTTTAATGGCGGTTGGCAAACAATGAAATGGTGCATCACCTCCACCAACTGGACTGTGGATCAGGAGACAATATACTATTTCTCAACTAAAATAAAGGAATAAAAACAATTACGAAAGACGAAAAAACTAAATTCTCTTTATTAAATTTGTTCTCCTCAGATATCTAAACAAAGCCATATTTTTCTTGATGTTTTATGGCCATATATATATATAAGGCACAATCAAGATGACCCAGATCTGCACAGAATTTAGTTGTTGTTTTTTTTACCTGACTCCTCCACCCTGCTCACAAACTGTTTGACCGCCTACCCTCTGGGCGGCGCTTCAGGAGCCTCCGGACCAAAACCAGTAGACTCAGGAACAGCTTCTTCCCCACAGCTGTGAAATCCAAGTCCAGTTGATTTCCAAGGTTATTTTGGTTGCGGTTTACTATGACCTGGATGACTGAGAATTTGCACAGATATACACCCCTCACCCTTTCTCATCTCTCCTCCCGGGACTCATGCAATACACTTCTGTTACCTGTAACACTGAAGTGATCTGTTAATTTGCATATACACTACTCACAGGCAAAAACTCCATATTAATTTTTATCTTTACACTATTTACATCCATTGAACTGTTCACTCATGTAACTTATCTTCTTATTCTGCACTGTTTCATTCCATTTCATCCCATTGCACTAGTGTTCTATAAGCTTAATGTACCTTGTCCATTACTTGTAATTTGAATCCATAGTCTGTTGTACATTGTACATTACCCTACATATCTTACTGTAAATATGAACTGTACATATCCATCACTAAATTAGTTCTGACTATACAGACTGTAGATACTCACACTCTGCACTGCTGTTATTGCACTTCTGGTTAGATGCGAAACTGTATTTCGTTGCCTTGGACATGTACATGGGTAATGACAATAAAGTTGAATCTAATCTAGTCTAGTAGTAGTAGTAGTAGTAGTAGTAGTGATGATGATGATAAGGTCTGGACCTTATTTCAAGTGCCCTGAGATGATTTTTGTTGTGATTTGTCGCTATACAAATAATATTGAATTGAATTGAACTCAAAAACTGTACATTTGTCCGTTGCAAAATAGCTAATTTATTAATATAAAAATCTAAAAATTGTCTTTATAGTTTTGCCTCAAAGTTTTACGCAGTTTGTCAGGTTCATTATATTCCCGGCGCGCCCAATCACATCGCTGTTTCTCCGTGCGAGCCCTTGTCATTGGCCAGCATGATGTGGTTAGCTTTTAAACCTCCGGCGCTGATTGGCTGTGTGAGTGAGGTAGCGTTTGTTTAAATCGGGAGGCGGGAGTGTCTATAGTTTGAATCAGAGGTACAGTTTGGACTGATAAGTTACATTAAACAACAGAAGAAGAAGAAGAAGAAGATTGCTAAGTTATCGACACACGGTGAGTCTCGCAGGTAGATTTAACGTCTACTTTACAAATCTGGATGTGCTTGTGCTGTGTGTAGGCTACTCGTTGATCTTCAGCAACGGTTCGTTTCTCGTCTTAGGGGATTCAGTACTAAACAGGTTAACGGCAGAGCTAAAGTTCAGTTAGCCGGCCAGCTAACTTCATTAGGGTTAACGTTAGCTAGGTTAAAACAGAACTGGAACAAAACAAGTTAATGAATCGACTTTACCGGCTAACCTTTGTAACCCTGTCAACAATCACCGGACTGGGCAGTTGTAAGTCCAGCGGCAATTATTCTTCACTGATACATATATATAAGCTTTTATTCTTGACATATTAACAGTCGGTATCATCCGATGGCTACGCTTTAGCTGTTGTTAGCTAACGATACAGCTAGCGGTGGCTGCTGAGAATCTGACGAGTTTGTTCGCCGTCTTTGAGCTCTGTGTCGGTGTCTGAGTACCGATCTGCCTGCCTGCCTGTCTTTAACCTACCTGTTGGTGTCTGGCAGGAACTGTACCGTTACCACCAATGGCCTCCCAGAACATGGACCCCGCAGCGGCTGCAGCTTCCTCCACAGCCGCCCTGAAGGGCAGCGAGAGTGGCGGCACCTCGGCCAGAGGCTCGGTCTCCAAACGGTGAGAGACAACAAAGTGCTCCGTCCTGTTGCGACTGTATTGGAAAACGCTAACGTTGCTATTATGAACGCACTGTGATTTCACAGAACTCTTTCTAAAGTATAAATGATCACCACTGTGCTAACTTGTGTTTTGTCGACCAGCAGTCCAAAACGCAAAGAGATTTGCTGTTAGATATAAATGATGCAAATGTTTGTCAGTTTTACTTTAAAGATGACAGAACCAATCCATTATTAGCATATTTACAGAATATGTTTTTTTTCTTGTTCCGGTTCTGTACCGGAAACAGATTCCTTGTGTGTGTTACATACTTGGCCAAATAAAGGTGATTATCCTTAGTTGCAGCATAATGTAGACGGTGTTTCCATGTTCCATATAAATGTCAGACGGTTCTGCCTGAGGATGTTTGCAGTGACAGATGTGATACAGATGTTTAACATGTGTCTGTGTCAGCAGGCTGCAGCAGGAGCTCATGACTCTGATGGTGAGTTAATTCAGTTATATTCGTTTCACAGGGAAAATGAACATGATTACAGATATGTCTTCATTCACCATGCTAGCTAGGATTCACATGTTCACTCATTCACTTTGATAAAGAGCACTGCACCTCATCCTATACATGCGGTGGTAACATGTTGGTCACATGTATTGATGGGGTTTGAGAGCATTCAGTCAGATTTAGATCCAGTATCTTGGGACTCTTGGGTTTTGCCTTTCAACATCTGGTTCCTCGTGCCAAACTCCTGAGAACAATCTTAGAACTGTGATGTTTTCTGAATTGTGTGTTGTTGTTTTTTTTTTTGTTTTGTTTTGTTTTTTTTAATTATTAATTTAAGACTAAACCCTAGGGAAGATAAGTTATTCACAAAGCATTTTGGCTCCTAAAAGAGCTCCTAAGGTGAAAACTGTTAAGAGTAGAGAGGAGGGCTTTTAATCGGCTAAAGAATTTATTAAGGAGAGGATAAAATGAGGGAAAGACAAAGAGGGAGTAGAAATATTCTGCAAACGCTAAATAACAAAGTTAATCAAATGCTACCAATCACTGGAGAATCGGCTCCATCAGCCAGTCAGAGCACAGCAGTAGGGAGTGGACATAGGACTGTAGTTAGGTTTTATGGAAATCCAATTAAAATCTGAACTGTGTTTGGACAAAACCTGTTCTGCTGTTCACGGTCCAATTTCTGACCTGATGTGGTGATGACATCATGTGACCTGTCTCTGTTGATGATGCAGATGTCAGGTAATAAGGGCATCTCAGCGTTCCCAGAATCGGATAATCTCTTCAAATGGGTTGGAACAATCGACGGAGCTCAGGGGACGGTACGTTCTCTCACACACGCACACACAATAGTGAGTAATCAATATGTTACTAATGTTACTGATGTCAGAGCTGCACTGTAACTACAGTGGAGGAAAGTGCCTGATCAGACGAGCTCAGGGTAAACAAGAACCTTCACAAGTCAGGCAAATGTCTGTGCTCACCTGTCTCAGGTGTACGAGGGCCTCAGGTACCGGCTGTCTCTGGAGTTCCCTGCTGGCTATCCATACCAGGCTCCTCACGTGAAGTTTGTGACGCCGTGTTTTCATCCCAACGTGGACGAGCATGGATTCATCTGTCTCGACATCCTAAAGGACAAGTGGTCAGCGCTCTACGATGTCCGCTCCATCCTGCTGTCCATCCAGAGTCTGCTGGGAGGTAACCAGCACAACCAGTTAACATTAACCAGTTTAAACTGGTGGGAGTGTATTGAGGATGTCAGGTAGTAGCACCTGCTGTTACAGTCATATCTGATTGTTTTCAGCAGAAACCAACTTGAACCTGGAATATTTTAGTGAACGTATGTTTTTATGGGTTTTAAAGTCCGAATCATGAAATTGGGGTTTTTAAAGTCTGGGTGCAGCAAAATCAGTGACCTGTTTATAAACACATTATGTTAGAAAATAGTTGCTGAAGACATGAAAGGACAACGCTATGTAGCACTGATTGGTGGGGTTATGATTTCATAATTTTTGATTTTTTTTTGGGTTCAAAAGCAAGGCTCAATGACGCACTGGAGCCATCCTTAACATTACGTCTCCTCCCAACACTAATGTTATAAATGATAGAGAGCACAGAGCTCTATGCCTGCATTTGTTATTAGGGGCACTCGATGTGAGCACAGACGAATATTTACAGCTACAGTTTTGTTTTTTGTTTTTTAAGAAATAACATTAACGCTGCCGCCTCACTATTAAAAGATGACAAAAGTAGGAACACCTACAGTGAACGCGGAACAGGTCTGAACAGACCGCAGTTGGAGAGGGGCATGAGGGCGTTAACAGCCACACAGTGGACCCTACAGCTGCTACAGAGTCCGCTAATCTCCAAAATGCTGAATAACTCTTTAATGGTTTAACTCCACCATTCAGCACAACATAGTTCTGTCTTTCCACATTTTCAGCAATAATTTTCTGGAATATATAGAAACAGATTTTGTTTTATTTTTATTTTTTTGCTTTGCCTGGACTTTAATCTATTTGATATTAATGGAGAAAACATCAGAAAACTGTCTGCATTTTCTGATGGTGCTGTGTTGTGCAGGCTGTGTCCATGATTCTGCAAAGTGCAAACATACAGTGGAAATGAAATGTAGTGCATCACAATATGGGAGGTGAAAGCGTTGTAACAGTGTGTGTGTGGTTGCTCTGCTGAAGTGAGATTGTGACAGAAACAGGTCATCAATGGTAGCCCACTACAGCATACCCTGTGGGTTCCAGGGAGAGTTCGCTAAAGATCCAGATCAAAGATTTTTCATTGTCAATTCACTATATGTGCAGAACATCCAGAAAAATCGAAATACTGTTTCTCTCCCACCTAATGTTGAATGACCATATCATTTAAGAAACTAAAATAGAATAAGAGTAGTATAAACACAGAATAAATAAAATATGAAAACTGAATTAAAGTAGTAAGGATAAACTAAATTTCACAAGTTCTTGGATCAATAAATCATAAGCAAAACATTGTTAAAACGCATATGACCCCTTTTACAACCTCAGTAAGGTCGACAACAAGCTGCAGCCAAAGTTTCATCAGAACGAGCTGGAGGCGGTTCCTGCGCACTCGTCTCACAGTGGCTGCATAGAGACCGGTCTGTGCAGCACGGAGGAGGCTCGGTTTGATGAAGCCTAAGTTATAGCTTGTTGTCTACCTCACTATGGTTGGAGAGAGATGTCATTTGCGTTAGAATATGTGAATATTTTAGTAACTTTGCTGCAGGTCAGAGGCGCGCAGTTGTCAGCAGGTCGAGCCAGTCTGCAGTCATGAGGTGGCTTTGATCCAGTGTAGGGCTAGAGGATAGTGTAGTAATCTGATGCTTCTTCAGGCAATAAGGTGAAAATATCTTTTGGGGAGGCAACAGTGGTGCGGTGGGTAGAGCAGTCGTCTCCCAACCAGAAGGATGAAGGTTTGAATCTCGGTGCCAGTAGTCCACATGGTCAAAGTGTCCTTGGGCAAGACACTGAACCCCCTCCATTGCCCCTGATGGGTTAGCCATCGGTTGAGGTGGCGCTGCAGATGGCTGCCATCAGTTCTGTACCTGTACCTCTATGTGTGTAACATACTTGGCCAATAAAGGTGATTATCCTTATCCTGGATAAATAGTCACGTATGCCACGTAGTAACCACAATTATTAAACTCAATTCAGTTTTATTTGTGTAGCTCTAAATCACAACAAAAGTCGTCTCAGGGCACTTTTACAAAGTAAGGTCTAGACCTTATTACTATTATTATTATTATTATTATTATTATTATCATTATTATCAAGGGAAAAACTCAACAAATCCCCTCTGAGCATCACTTGGCGACAACAGTTGTCTCAGGACACTTGACACAGTCAGGTCTAGACCTTACACTGTTATAGGAAAAACCCAACAAATCCCCCTTGAGCAGCACTCGGCGACAGTGGGGAGGAAAACCTCCCTTTAACGGGAGAAACCTCTGACAGACCCTGGCTCTTGGTGGGCGGCCTTCTGCCTCGACCGGTTGGGGTGAGTGGATAGAGGAGAGACAAAAGAAGAAAAGCAACAAGACACAACAATCAAACACTGATCAGGTCGATGTGGCTGGGGACTGCTCATCAGAAACGTAGAGCTCCAGGGCCAGTTATCATTATTATCGTGGTACTGTTAAATATGTGTTAAATGTACTTGCAGAAATCATTCACTTAAGGTTTTATTTTGAAAACCACAAACAATTATTAGCATTCACACTCAGCCTACCACTGCGTTCTGCCATGTTTTCACAGAGCTGAACAAACCCGCGTTGCAGACTGTGCTTGCGTCTGAGAACCTCTAACGTTGGTTGGTCCTGGACAGTGTATAACCTTTCAGCAGGGAACTTTTTCTAAGTCTGAACATTGGCTATGGTTTTAATGATATTTAAAATTTGAAGTGGTAATACTGACGGTCAGAAATCTTGCAGTGACACTAACTTTTTTTTATTCCTAATTGACAGAGGATTTACTGGCAAGTATTTTGATCATCAGTAACTAGTTTCAGAACCCCTGGGTAACATAACCCAATTCGTTATGTTGGCTTTATTTCACAAGAATTGGTTTCCAACAAAATGGTTGCACTTCATTTTATTCTCTGTGGAGGCTAACATTATTGATGGTTGTAGCCACTACCCCTAGTTGATGGTACAGAGAAATATCCAGTCAGCTGTTTGATTAGCTTGGTGTTGCTGTCACACACCAGTTGCACAAATGTTTGTTCAAACACTGATTTTAACAGGTCAATCCTGTTACTAGTTTATGTTTCAGATTGAGATCCCCAAATCCACCCCGGATATGAAATTTACCATTGTTTTATTATTTGTTCTGGTATGATACCATTATACTGTATGTGCATCCAGCTTAGGGGTGCCGTGCCTAAACATTTCTGTGGCAGGGAAAACCCTGCATCCAGTGTTTTTAGTCTCTGAACATCTGGTTGTGTTTGTGAGCTGCCCAGCCACAGTAACTAACACCTGTAATCCATCTTAAACCCTGACAATACAAGATGAGGCTTGGTTTCACACTGTTTTTTCCTTTTCAGAACCGAACAACGAGAGTCCTCTGAATATGGTGGCGGCTGAACTGTGGGACGATCAAAAAGGTGAGAGACATCACCACAGTAATGTCAGGTGATGGTGATCAGTTTGTCAGCCAACACAAACGATGCAGGTGTATAACAATGTGTAACGGCACTACAACAGTGACTCGGCCGCAAACCAGCTACGATGTCACTTGTGTTTTCTCAAACTTGTTTGAGTTGCAATCCAAAAACTGATCCTGGAGTTTAGCCTGTTTATAAGTGCAGCAGATAAATGTTGGACAAAGTAACACAGCTGGAAGGTAATAAAGTACTTCTACTACAATACTGAAGCACAGTTTGGGGGTACTTCAGTATTTTTCATTCTGTGCTACTTTATACTTAACCACAGATGGAATTATTGTACTTTTAAATTACAGGTTACACAAGTTCAATAAATAAATGAGAATCAGTTGTTTGACAAACAGTCTGTTTTCAGCAGAAAAAAAAATCCTGTTTTATCTCGGCAACAATTTGAGGCCAAGACAAATAAGATGTTTCAAAAATGAGTAGAAACTTCTACCATCATCACAGCGATTTGGTTGGACTGGGCCCAAAGGTGAAACTTAAGTCGTCATCTCTGGATTTGCACATTTTTATGAGCTGAATTCTCCCTCTATCAGTTGTGTAAACGATCAACACTGTAATACATTTTTATTTATTTCATTAGAAGCTAACTGAAATCAGAAAAAAAATTCAAACGTAATTTGGTTTCACTTAAATCTTTGTCATGTTTCAGTTTTATTAGCTGCTAAACTAAATTGGTTTTTAAGTTTGAAACTAAAGTTTGACTGCCATTAAATTATTTGATTTTTATTACCATTATTGATTTACTAATCACTGAGATTCAGGGGGTAGAGTGGGCGTTTCCCAACGCAGATGGTTGCCTCGGTTCTGTACCGGAAACAAATTCCTCGTGTGTGTGTGTGTGTGTACCATACTTGGTCAAATAAAGTGATGATCCTTATCCACTGTCAGTAATCAATAGATCAAAGGCTGGACGTGAAGGAGAGTAATCTCCATTGATTTTATAAGGAACCTTTAAAATAAGGTAATGACGGGTCATGGGAATGTTCAATAGTTCTGAACATTAGCGACAGTGTCACAGTTGCACTGACTAGGCTGCTGTCTTAAGAAGTTTAAGTTGGTGACATGTCAAGGCTTTTTTTTTTTCTTTTTACCTTTTTGACTGTTTCTCAATTATTGTCACTTTAATAATTAATGATTTGAAGCTATGTAAGTCATGTAACCTGCTGCCATTTCGACCCCTCAGTGCCGCAGCTCTCCTAACTTAATGGCTCTGGTGTCAAGCCATTAGCAAGGGCTGATGGGAGTTGTAATTCTAATAGCTGTTTCTCTTTCAGCTTTTAAAGCTCATCTGCATTCGACCTTCAAGAAGTGAACCTGCACCAGGTTTTATTCTTTTGTTTGTCTTCTGTGTTTGTAAAGTATTTTTCTGTTTGTTCACCTTCTGTATCAATAAAGTTATTAAGTCAACACACACCAGATTTTATGTCAAATTCCTGTATGGTGTCAATGTTAGCCGCCTTGCTAACAGGAAGCTGATTTTGTTTGAGGGTTGTTCCAGAAAGCAGGTTAAGTTTGAAGCTCTGAGCTTGTTCACGATGAATTTGGAGAAAGTCTGAGTTTTCAGTTCCGGAAACAGGGTCCACTTGAACTCTGACTCAGTTACAACAGTACCTGACCCTGAATCTCACATTTTCTTCAAAACAACCTCAGAATTTCTCTCCATAGCCTCCCTCCCTCATGCAGTTCATGTGGAAGCGCAGATCAAAGTGTATTAATTTTCCAGAAGCTTACATCAGGAGAAGAGCATACAAATCCTGTTTAGACAGTAGCCTGGTAGTTTATGAAAGACCTATCTTTTCTAATGCGATTGCTTTTATGATCATCAGTGTAAAGACAGTAATCTCTCCTCACATTTATTAGGTCTAATTAGACAGTGAGGGTTCGTCTACACATTGTCCGTCTCTATAGCTCAGTGACTCCTTACATGAAGACACCTGTCACTCCCCTTGCACTGACACATCTACCATGCATCACTGTGGTCACTATAAATAAAACATCAGGGTGACGCTTTGGACACCAGATCTGTGAATACACTTGTGTTGTTGGTCGCACTGGTGGAACCTTCCAAAATGATCAATAACTATGACAGGAGATTATGTAAATACTTCCACGAGAATGAATGTGTAGCTTTCAAAACCTGAACTTTAAAACTGGACTAAATGCAGTTTAAATGTATTTGAATTTGTATCAGTTGTTTTAGCAGCATATCAGAGTCCAAATTCAATACGTGTGTACATGTGTAGGTCTGTGTATGTGTTAGAGAGACAGATATCCTGAATTTATTAAGAGCAGATATTAATGACAGCTTGTGTTGGGGTGCAGGCAAAAGGGGGTGGGTCTGAGACACCGGAACACTGTTGACCCTCCTGTCTCTCGTGGGCCCAAATCAACGAAACAGAAAACGCTGACCACACCAGTTCATCAGAAATCAGTTGGTGATTGGACGCTTCAGATGAAAAGATGTCTCATGTCTCTGGGTGTTTCTCTAGTCTTCTAGAAGCGCAGCCATTTCCCTCATGTCTTTTCCTTGTGTTTTAGTCCTGCATCAACAATGTGGATGCATATAAAGAAATTGAGGAGCAGCCCTATTCTCCATCATGTTCAGAGCAAAATGCTTGTTTTTTTTTGTTTTCTGGATCACCTGTTGTTCAGAATAATTTGAGACAGGTGACCACTGGAAAAAGAAACTAAACCTGTGTTATTTATGAGAAAAGAAGCCACACGCCGTTTAATATGACTAAAAGAACATTAGATCAAACCTGACCATTCTGCTCTCTGCTCCTGCAGCAGAAACAGTTTGACATTACTGTAACTTGCATCAAAAATTTGCCTACTAAAGAGCAGAAAATACTCCTTCAATAAGACCCTTATAATTGCTGCTAATATTCAGAGAATATCCTGAGTCAGACTTTCATATTTAGACATTATTTCTGCAGCTTCTTATCATGTTATGTGTGGTCACCTTGTTGAACAAACTGCTGTTGCTATAAATAAATCTGTGTGCAGGTTTCACTCTGATTTTATACCGATCACATTCAGGTTTGTGGTAATGGTGATGTTATCAAAACCGCTTCCTCCTTTTTCACATGAGCACACCTGGACCAGTAAACCAGTGTTGAGCCAGTTATAACCGGTTTGTACATTTCTAGAAAACAAAACAATATAAGAATAGAATAATCCAGTCAGTGTCATGACTTAAATTTTTTTCAGCTTTTCAACTTTATAGCATATTTGTATATTCTGTCAAAACAACTTTATTTCTTGTAACCATTTTTGATGTATTACAAATTGATTTGAAATTGCTTTTTACTGTATGTTAAGTTACCACAATGGAACTTTTTAATGTTAAAGATTTCAATTGTAATTATATTTGATCTTGAAGCAGAACATTATCATAGCTGCCTGTGACATTATTACACTGCATGATAGTTCTGCTTGTCAAGTACAAGTTAAAGTTTTCTCATTCTTTGTTCATAAGGGTCTGACTTTATAAGAGGATTTCCTGTAGTGTAAAATTCTGTTATACATTTGTTATTCACAGACTAGAGCAGAGTGATGCTATCAGGTGTTTCATCATCCAAATCCAGGTTCACAAAAGTGAGATGACCTTCGGCTGTGACTCCTCCCCCTCTACCCCATACAGCTACAGCATGGTGGCTGGCAGCAGGCAGCCATCTTGTTGGAGACAACCTCGACCTCCATCAGCTCCTCCAGGCTGTGCTCTGGCTCTGTCTGTTCACCATGAGCTTCGGCCCATGCCGGCTGGGTTGACTCCACCGACCAGAACGCCACTGGAACCTGTAAGGCACCCACAAGTAGAAATGAAACACAGAAGAACACAGGCAGCACATACAGGTAAAGGACAGATGAACACTCCTAACAGATACAAGATCCTGTGTCTGATTTGCTTCTGGTTCTGGTCTAAAAAGAAGTGTCCTCCCTGTGGTTCTATCTCACCCTCAGCTGCATCTCACTCAGCATCGCTTCCAGCCCTGTGATATGATTGGTCAGATCAGGACTAGGTTCCTCTTCCAAGGTGAGCCACGGCACCTGAACTGATGTCACCCGAGCTGCCACGCCCACCATGCCATCAATACAACCTGAACACAGGAAAGAGCCAGATGGATAAGAGGTTAACAAGAACCTCAGAAAACTGCATTTTTTCACAGCTCCAAGAATTTTCTAGTGGACCTCAAGACAGTTGGAGGGTATGTTACAATACCCTAAGAGGAGGTTTGTCCTTCAGAGATTATGGATTCATTAAAGAGCTACAAGAAACCCATTGGGGAGGTTGCAGGGATCACTAAGGAGGTTCTTGGGGTCTGTGAAGAATGTCCTCCACAAGGAGGTTTAAGTGCTCATTGGAGGAGAAGCAAGACAGGTGTCCTTGGTGACGTTCTAAGGGTTCTGCAAAAAAGCTCCAGTAGTCTCAAGATGTTGCCAGTGTCCTTGAAGATTTTACTGTACTGCAGGTGTTCATCCGGGCTAAAACAGTGAAACCTGATTGTTTACACCAGCTACACTTCATTGTTAAAACACTGAAAGTAACACTATTGCAAACTCAAAGTAAAAACCTAGTCACAATGAAATTATAGCATAACAAATATCGTGACCTTACCAGTCTTGGCACTCGAAATACATTCAGACCTGGTCATAGAGGAATATAAAATGTAAAACCCAAACATGGTTTTTAGGCAGTCAGCTCCTCTGATGGATTGTTCAGTAGCTTAGTTTCCTTTGACTTCTTGAGAATGTTTCTGCTTTTTTCATAGAGCTTTTGGGAATTTCTGTGGTTCTTGAAGGAATTTTTAAGGCTCTCTGAGGATATTTTTACTCCTTCAAATGTTACAGGAATCCTTGAGCATGTTCTTGTTACCATAAACATTGGAGGTAATTCTGTGGGTTCTTGAAGAGGCTCCAGAAATTCTTGAGAAGGTCCCATTGGCCCTTGATGAATGTCTATTGGTCCTTTGGGTGGTACCAATACTTATGAAAGGATGTTCAGGAAATTTTGAGGAGGTTTTGTGAGGAGGAAGAATGAATCCCACAGGAGAAGAACTAGGAATCACTTAGTGGTGAATCAGTGTGGTTCAGAGGTCCTTGATGAGGTTGTTGGTGTCAGAAAGGAATACAAAATGAGTTCTTGATTAGTTTGTGATCCTTATAGGGGTTTTGAAGACAATCCAGATTCAAAGCATTCTTCAAAGGACCGTGAGGCCCAACCCTCGAGTGGATTCAAATGGAGGCTTCAGGAGACTTTAGCCCTCTTTCCACCAAAGGAATTTTCACTGGGGAACACAAACCTTTTGCAGAATTTAGTCCCTCTAGCTGAATTTCAACTGGAGGAACCAGGATCTAAATTTCATTCTGTGGCATAGTTCCATAACCCCTCCAAAAAGGCCCTAGTCAGGGGTTGTACTTACCAGAGGTCCAACACTATTGGGGTGAGATCTGCAGTGGTGAACAACACTAATTAGTAAAACACTGCACAGTATTTTGCACCCTGTAATTTTAAAACCCTGATGCTGGCTGTTGTGTTTTTGACACATCAGCAGGTTGTCAATAACACACAGTTAAATGTGACAAAGAATGGGAGAGCACTCATATGGAAGCTCAGTATACAAGTTAAATGATGTTTACCCATTATTTGGCTGCAGAAAGGGGGGGTGTCAGGCCATGCTGTCATAAATCTTCAAAGTCCCACAATAAGCAGCACCATTTTCCAGACCTAACCTGCCCTTAACACAAAGCATCCTGAACCCTGTCCTCACCAAGCAAAGAGGAGATATGTGGCTTGACACACAGCGTCTGCATTGTATTTGCTCAGGTTAAGCAGCCGCTGGTGCAGCTGGCTTGTAGTGGAAAGCCGGGTCCACTCAGCTGTCCAACCATTGACACTGTTCTACCAAGACTGTCTAGCAAAAGAAGACTATTAACAATTCTAGTGAGTCTGTAACTATATTATCATCAACACAAGTTCTGTGTGGGCGCAGAAGTGAAGGCAGGTCTACAGGGTCATCAGCTGGGCGCCCTCTCACCAACTGGTGTTTCACTGAGTTGGGCCCACAACACTGACAAGGCTCAACAGTGTTCCAGTGTCCCAGACCCACCCCCCTCTTTGCCTGCACCCACACACCCAACACAACCTTTCATTAACATCTGCTCTTAATAAATTCAGGCTGACTGTTACCAAAAAAGAGGACACCACGTCCTGGCCCACGTTCACTTGGTTTATCAGACAAGAAATAAGGAAGGAAAAGAGGTAAGGTAGGAAGGTGAGGAAGTAAGGAATAGAAAGAAAGAAAGGTGCTTCATCACTCAGCCAATCACAGAGCTTCCACAGACAGGCAGTTGAATCCACCAACTGACCTGTCTTTACCAGTGAGGGTCTGCCATGTTGAGTCAGAGGGAACTGTCCAATCAGATCACTTGTCTTTCGGAGATCAGAGAGAAAGTTCTCCGTCACAGATAGGAAGAGAACCCAGAGACGCTCCAACACCTGCCTGTTGCCTACCCCTGAGGGGACAGAAGCACAGTCTGACAGCAAACGCACCAGATGGTGGGACAGCCCTGCAGACAGGTGTATGACCAGGTGTGTACACAACTATATCAGCATGTGCGCATGATAAGGCATGTGTACAGGTATATGAACAGGTCTTGTTACCGCTGCAGAGCCGATGAGCAAGTGCTCTTGTCTTGTCCATCTCATCTCGCAGGAAGCCGCTGTCTGCCGAGCTACCGAGTGACGTGGCCAGCTGCTGGAAACAGGAAGTGACCCGACTGAGAGCCTCCTGAGCACGCTCACACTTGCGCTGCTGCCGTCGCCGTGCGGCCAGTTCATCCACTGAACGACGCCACCGATTCATGTTGTCATCACCCAACTGACAGGCGAGGGGGGCACATCTATGGTTCTGTTGTAGCTAAGGACTAATATTACCTGTCCTGGTGGCCGGATCAAGTTGGTAGACCTTGTTGAACATGATCAATCTTTCATTAACAATGTGTCTGAAATTCTCTTTAGCGTATTTTTGACTCAGCAGACAACAGGAGGAATGGAGACTAGCTTCCATCAGCTTCAATAACTCAATACAACCTGTGATTCAGTGCTTTTCCACTGTACATCATATTTAGAGTCAGAATATTAGGAACACCTCTGAATATACTGTCGTCCAGTACAACACCACCTTTAACTATGACCTCAATAATAAACATTATTGTTCATTAATTAACATTATTGAATTTATATATTTATGACAATTTCACCAAAAACCGAAACATTTTGAGCTTCATAAACGCAGGTGTTACGGTGAAAGTGTTGTATTGAATTGCATTGTTGTACAGGTGTTCCTAATACATTCGCCTGTGAGTGTATGTTACACTTGCTAGTCATATACATACAGTATATTGTAAATATATTAGATGTATTATCATTCTTCTCAGCGGAGTGGAGTTAGTTGTGTTCGGTAACAACAAATGAATGCTTAATATTACATCCAATTCAGGATATAAAAGGAACAACAAAGATGGAAACTGCTGCAAATCTGGACATTTTTTTCTTAAAATTTCTTCTCCCTTTAAAATATTCTTATGTTTCATTAGCTTTCATCAAAATAAATAATTAATTGTGTGTGATTTCAACAAACAAACAACAATAACTGATTAGCATTAAGGAAACATTAGTAACAACTAACAACTACAGCAAACTCTTCATTTAATCATATCAAATACTGAAGCTGACGGCACTGATTTCAGAAATAATCTGTTTCAAACATGTTTAAAAAATAGATGACAACAATCAGAGCTTTAAAGACTAAACTACAAACATTTTCAGTATTAAAGTTATAAAACGTCTGAGAATGTCCTGTTTGAAGTTTGTGAATGAAAAATAAAACCAGTTCATCCTACCTGCTATTTCCAGCTTCTTCTTCTGTAGTGGAGGACCCACAGCGTGAGGCAGGTTTCTATGAACACTCCTTCTCTCTCGGGGATTAACTGTGTTTTTAATTAATGCTTGGAGGCCAGCTGAGGCATGAATCCTCTCAACATCTCCCCAAAGGATCCTCATTTTACCTTCAGTTCTGCCTCGCAGGCAAACCTCATCTGTCAGGGATTCACCTGTGCAGGTAGAGTATGTCATGTCATGGTTATTTATACATGGCTTAGGGGCAGATATTCAGGTGTTATTCTAGGCTTTTCCATCCATGAAAAAGATGTAATTGTTGTCATGTTTCATGAACCCATTAGCAGAGAACATTGTTCTGTCAACTGAAATTTATTAAATCTGATTTGTCACATATGTTAGCAGGTAAACTCCACAGCCAAAGCAAATACTATATTTGTAGTAGCAATATTCAATTCAATTCAGTTTTACTTCTGTAGTGCCAATTCACAACAACAATTATCTCAGGGAACTTTACATACCAAGAGCTGGACCATACAGTATTAATGGGAAAACCCAACAAATTCCTCTGAGCAGCACTTAGCGACAGCAGGGAGGAAAAAAGGAGGAAACCTCCGACAGACCCCAGCTCTTGGTGGGCGGCCTTCTGCCTCGACAGGTTGGGGTGAGTGGATAGAGGAGAGAGAAAAGAAGAAAAGCAACAAGACACAACAATCAAACACTGATCAGGTC